GAGCTGGGCTGGGCTGAGCTTTAAGGTCCCTTCCCAGCCCAACATTGCATGGTTCCAGGGCAGGACTGTGCCAGGCTGCAGGGAATGGAGCCCCAGGAGCCTGTGCAGGTGCAGGCAAACACTGAGGAGCCACTTGCTGGTACCACAAAGCTGCTTTAATTACTGAAAATCCTGGAGGAGCTCGGGGAGCCTTTGGCTGAGCTGGGCAGCTGAACCCTCTGAGTTCTGGGATGTGGCAAACAAGAACCCTGAGTGCTTTGGGCCAGCACTCAATGCTTTAGGCACTTGTGAATGGGGTGAGCTGTTGTGTCAGTGTCACCTGGGGCTGGGACAGAAGGACAGAGCAGGAAAAGCCACCCAGAGCTGACTCTGAGCCCCAGCAGCTCCAGCCACCAGCTGCACTTTGCAAGTGCAGGAGGGGAGGACACGGTGTTGCAGGAGTTTCAAAATTAAACCAGTAAATTTCTGCACTTATTTATAGCTTGCTTTTTTGCCAGCCTATTAAAAATCTATATTTTCTGTTCCTTATAGGGACATCATTCATTCTTATTGCCAGCCTATTAAAAGCCTGTGTTTCTGGTTTCCTGTGGGAATGTGACTTGACTTGGAGCTGGTGTTGCCATCCGTGGGTTGAGCCACAGGAATGAAACTGAGAACTCCTGGATCCCATTTTTTATCTCTCTCAGGCTCACACGGCAGCACTGTGGGGTCTAGGAACACATTTCCTGGGCTCATGTGGTGGTTCTGGAGCACGGTGGTGTTGGAAATTCCTTTGGGAAGCTGCAGGATGGTGCTGGAGACTTTGTGAAGCCCTCAGAGCACGGCACCATTGCTGCTGCTTTTTAGGATTTACCAGAAGAAATTCCCTAAGAGCAGGCACACAAAGAGCTCTTCACATGAATCCTAAACACTGGTGGGGTAGGGAGCAGGGGAGTGACACATTTTATTCAGTGCCCTCCAAAAAACGTGCAGTGTGCAGCAAATCCAGCAAAGGGGAAAATTCCACTTTTGTCCGAGGTGCCTCAGTGCTTTATTGGGAACTTTTAGTGAGGACAGATTTAGAAACTAATTTAGGGCTCGTTTAAATGTTTTCTAAAAATAATTACTTGTCTATCACCTTTCACTCAGGAGTTTCTAATGGATCCCTGATGTGAAACCTGCAGCCCCATTTCCCAGTTTGGATGAGATGAGGGCAGGGGAATTGGAGAGGATGAAACTCCAGCCAGGGGGCTGTGGGGCTCCCGTGGAACCTGAGTTTTCTGATGGCTGTTTTATCCCAGTTTTCCCAGGATTTTTGGTCCCCTGGCAGTGTTTTGGGGAGCAAGTCTGGCTGCTGTGACACAAGGTGTGCAAACAGCCCCTTACACCTGAGTGTCCATTTTTGCCTCCTGAGTGATTCCCAGTGGCCCTTGTGGGGCACAGAATCAGCCTGTGCCCTCTGTGTCCTTTGCTCAGCCCATCTGTGCCTGGGGACAGTGCCCAGCTCACTCTGAGCTCTCACACCAGTGCTGGGGCTGCTGGAGGCAGGAGCTGCTCTGCCTTTTTGCACAGTTGACTTTTCGAGTTGGTGTTCTGGGCAATTCATCTGTGAGATCACTGTATCCTTTTCAGCTGGAGCTTGAGGAGAAGTGAGAATTTCCATTTTTTGAGGGGATATCTGACCCAGGAGCTGTCAGTCTCCTCCCTTGAGCAAGAAGAGCAATGTGCTTTGGAGTCAGGAGAGCTGATCTCTGTGGCTCTGCCTCCTTGGACAGAGTCTGACACTTTACTTCTGGTTTTCCTACTTTTATTGGCTTTCATTTTATTGCTCAGCCCCCTCCCCTGGGGCAGGGGCTGCCTGTGTTTGTGCTGCCTCTCCCTGCAGGGTCCTGGCTGCTGCAGGCAGTGCTGTAATGCAGGATTAATATGAACATTAATATTAATATGCATTGATTGGCTGTGCTGTGAGAGGCTCTGTCTATTGTGCAGGAGCACAGAGCTCTGTCAGCACCTGGATCTGTGCTGTGATGGATGAGGGTTTGTGCATTTCTGCTGGTGCCAGCTGCTTTTATTCACAGCCTTTGAAAAGACCTAATAATGTCTTTGGAAATATTTCCTAACACAGGTCATATATTAAACCCCAAGTGCCTTAATTATGCTTTGGAAGAGCTACAACCCATCCCTAATAGAAACACCGTGGTGTGTTTGCAGGCCATGAAATCGGGGTTGAAAGGACTCATAATGCACTGCAAATGCAGGGAGCTGGAGATTGGGGCTGGAAACAAAACCATAACACAGCAAAGCAATTCGGGTGCAGGATGGAGCAGGATGCTCAGCCATCCCTCGGGGAAATGAGAATCCTGCAGCTGCACCCAAACACTCGGTGCCTCTGCACGAAGAAAGGGATTGTTTGAAGAGTATTTGGAGCTGTTTGACGTTTGAAGGATTAGATTAGTTCAGATTACACTGCAACCAGATTTTTTTGTGTCTATGTGTTAGTCTTAACATCTCCAAGTCCCATTATCAGACTACAGAGACTTTGATGTGGGACAGAAATAGCAAAGCCTGTGCCCTAAGTTGTGGCTGGAGCAGGGGGATGTGCTGGGAGAAGAAAAGGATTTCAGACTTGTGCCAAGTAGTCACAGCAATAACTGGTTTCTAAAAATAGCTGTGTCTGAGCAGCTTCCAGCTGTGCCCTAAAGCAGCTTAGGGAGGTGACAGGGTCACTGCCACACAGGTGAGCTGGGCTCACACAGGACACGGCTGGCACTGCAAAGGCACAACAAATCTGCAGTGTCCCGTCCCACAGACTCCCTGAGCTCAGGGACATTTCATGGCTCCAGAAAGAGGCTGGAGGAGCAGGAGCTGCCCCAGGACTGCCCGGGGCTCCTGCTCCTCCAGGCTGGAACACTCTGGGTGATCCCCACCGTTCCCAGGGGGAAAGAGAACGTTAAAAGACGTCAATAATACATTATTTTAAAAAAAGGACGGAGTTAAAAAGCATTAGACATCGAGTCAGCCCCGAAAGCGTGAGTGTAAGAAGAATCAGAGCTGGCAGGCTGTGGGTGCCCGTGGGTGCAGGCACACACAGCCTCACACCAGGCTGGGTTTGTGTCTCTGTGTTTCTGGGGCTTTCCATTGCCTGCCTCTTGGTGGGGTTGGGCAATAACCCAGTCCCTGAGCAGGGCTGGCACTCTGCCTCCTCTTCTTTGCTTGAAGTCCAAACTTTGCAGCACCTCTGGGCAACAGAGGCAGCTGATGAGTTCACATTAAATTATTAAACATTTAAACAGTCCCAGTGTAGTGAAAGGGTACTGGGCTGAGGTGGGCTTCCCTCCACAGACCGTTCCTGATAAGCAAAATCACTTTTTTTAACTGAGTCAATCTTCCTGCTTAGAGCTTTTAACTTTGTGCAATTAATTCAAGTTAGCATCCAAAAAATTCCTCTCGAACACCTCCTTTCACAGCATAGCTCAGCCGAAGCCCTGGGGTGTTTCAGGGGGTTGTCACCCCTGGGTAATCCCTGTGTCACCCTGGCAGGGTGGAGGGCCTGGAGTTACTGGAACAGAGCAGTCAGGAGGGAGCACAGAACGATGCTGATGCCTTTGTGTCCCAAATGCAGGGCAAGCCAACCCTGCAGAGCCCTTTGCAATCTCTGCCAGGGGTGCTCTGCTCTCCATCAATCACTGCTGGCATGCAGCACCTCCCACCCTGCTTCCCTGCTGCTCCCCAATTTATCTGGTGTTTGTGTGATGGGAGTCCAGGCATGCCCACCTTTCCCATTCCCTTTGGGATATTAAAGCTGTCACTCCCTGCTCCTCCCAGCCCTGCCACCAGCACGGGGACAATTGTTTTCCTTCTCCTCCTCTCCCCACCCTCCAGGGTTTAGTCCTTTCCTATTCGTTTGTGGCTTGGTTTGAATCTTGTCATTATTGTAACCCATGTTTAATGTCATTGTCTGTTCAGCCAGCACTGTGAGTGTGTAACCCCTGTGTAACCCGTGTGTAACCCCTGTGTGTGTAACCCCTGTGTAACCCCGAGGCTCTGAGCAGCTGTTGCAGTGGTTGGAAGCAGGGAAGTTTGGCTTTGGGCAGAGCTGTTTGCTGGTGCTGGCTGGGAGGATTTGTGTTGTGCACAGAGCAGGAGCAGCGTTTTGGGAGCTTTGGAAAGGCTGGAGAATCGTTTGAAGGATTTGAGTCGAGCAGAGCCTCTCCCCCAGCTGCCACTGCTCAGCCCCTGGCTGTGGAGAGCAGGGAGGTGAAGGCTCCACCTTGGTGGATTTTGTTTTGGAAGGGTTTGGGTGATGTTGGCTCCAGTGGTTTCCAGCAGCCTGTTTTTAGAAGCGTCAAAAAGAGATTTCATTTTAATCTACTCAAATCTCTTTTGAAATTTTTTTGTTTGTTCTTTCTGATAACACTTAAACCCTTTGAGGCCTGACCTCACAGGGCTGCTTTGGGCATTTTTGTAGCAGCATTAATGCTGCTTACCTAAAATTACTGTGAGGAGCTCAGCATCTTCTCATGTGCTGCTCCTTTTGTGGGCAGCCAAAACCAGAGCAGTTGTGTCTGAGCTCAGATTCTCCTGCATGGTAAAACACACCTCAAAGGCCCTGGGCTGACATTCTCCAGTGCTACAGAAAATGTCTTCAGGTGTTTTTCCCATTTCTCTCTGGAAACAGGGAATATTCTAAGGCAGTCAGACAGCACTGTGCACATTCTTGGATGGTCAGAATTTCAGTTTCCCTTGTTACTCCTTGCAGATAACTTGTAATGCCTTCTCTTCCCTCTGTCCCCTCCCTCCAGGCAAGCCTGGGACCTTGCTGTTGACATTTGCCTTTCCCAGCTCCCCACCATTATTGAGGAAGGAACTGCCTTCAGGGTAAGTTGGGGACTGTCCTGGCACAGTTTCACCCTTTCTCTGACTCCTCAGTTCAGCTCATCTCTGCTGCTGGGGCACTTTAAAGGTTTATGTTGGGTAAAAGTTGGAAATGTCTGGCACAGGGTGCCCAGAGAAGCTGTGGCTGCCCCTGGATCCCTGGGACAGTGGGAGGTGCCTGGATGGGCTTTAAGGTCCCTTCCAACCCAAACCATTGTGGGATTCTGGGATTCTCCCTCAGAGGAACAGGCAAAAATCAGGTTTAAGCTCTTCCCTGCTGCACGATCCAGCCCCCACTGGGGGTGAGCTCTGTCTCCTGGGGAGAGAGATCCATGCTTCCCTGAGACCCTCTGGGGTCACTTCTCCTGTTTCTCCACTCTTTCCCTCTTTTTTTCCCCAGCACATTTAAAGGGATGTGTGTCTGCTCAGTCTTTGGGAAGTTTTTGTGCACTGAGAAAACCCCAAGCAGGATGTATGAGTTACAAACCACAGCTTCAGCAGGCACACAAGTCCTCAGGTGTCCTTCCTGCTGTTTAACCCTTGCCTGCCTGCCCCCTTTGCTCCCCCAGCACAGCCCCTTCTTTGCCGAGCAGCTCACGGCCTTCCAGGTGTGGCTCACCATGGGTGTGGAGAACAGGAACCCCCCGGAGCAGCTGCCCATTGTCCTGCAGGTCAGTGCTGGGGCTGGGCTGGGGTTGGGGTGTCCCTGTCCGTGCCAGGGGTGTCCCTGTCTGTGCCAGGGGTGTCCCTGTCTGTCCCTGTCTGTGCCAGGGGTGTCCCTGTCTGTCCCTGTCTGTGCCAGGGGTGTCCCAGTCTCTCCCTGCCCGTACCAGGGGGTTCTCCAGGGCAGATGAGAGCTGGTTCTGTGTTCACCAGACTCACATGGATGAACCCAAAGTGCTTTTCCTGCCCCATCCCGTGGCTCTGGTTGAGCCAAGCCCCTGCTCTGGGCCATGTCCAGCTCTGCTGCCTCTCTCAGAGCAGCAAATCTTCACTGTCCCTCCTCTGGCATCTCCTCCATGTCCCAGCTCTGCCAGGCAGAGACTTTTATCTTTCCTCTTCTCAGAAAGTGGAAATTACTGCAGCATAAATCGTTTGGAAATGTCTTTTATGGAGCTGGTACAGCCTGGGAAGTGTTCCCTGCCGTGTGGGGCAGGAGCACACACAGATGGGTCTGCAGGGCTGGGGGTTGTGCTCAGAGCAGGCAGCTCTGGTGTTTGCAGGAGAGGAGATGAGGGCAGCAGAGTGGGGGGTTTGTGTGGCAGGGCCAGGGCTGCAGCTCTCCCTGTCCCTGGCCTGGCTCCCCTCGCTGCAGTTTGTGCTGACACAAATCCCAGCCCTGCCCCGGTGGGCTCTGCTCTACCAGCAGCACCATTTCAAAGCTTTCCTCCAAAGGAATGAGCAGGGCTCTGTGAGGACACTCCCCTCCCCTGTCACTCTGTGTCTGACAGCACCATCCATCTCTGCAAGACCAGATTTTAATTTCCTGAGTCTCCCAAGCCTTGAGAGATGAGGTGGATGAGCAGATATGTGGTTTGTCTCTGTCACAGCAATGGGAGCAGGCAGGGTTTTGCTCCAGCTCCACCTTTTCTGCTTTCCAATGGATTGTTTGGCAGCAGCAGGCTCTGCAGGAGGGTGACTGCAGTGGAGCTGAGAGGTCACCTGGCACAGGAGCCTGTGCTCCTGCCTGGAGCAAAACCAAGCTGGGACAGTGTGATTGTTGTTATAATTATAGCATATTAATTGTACAGTGCAATGAGATTGGCTGGTGGCAGGTCTGAGCATCCTGAGAATCCAAGGCCAGCTGATCCAGGGCAGGAGGGAGGGAATTGCAGCCCAATTTTGGCCTCTTTTTGGAGCCCAGGGAGAGCAGGCAGCACACACAGCCTGGGCAGCCCTGGCCCCTGTGGGGATTCACTCTGTGGGGTCTCTGGGCACAGAGGGCTCCTGGAGATCACTGCAGGCCCTGCCTTAGTGAGGAGCTGCCTGCTGAAACACAGCCTGTGACATGTGAGTGTCCCCCTGTGTTCATCCCCAGTTTGTGTGTGTGGATGTCACCACTCCCTGTTTTCCATCGGGACTGGTGCTGGGTGAGGGCTGTGACCCAGGGCTGTGTGACCCAGGGCTGTGACCCAGGGCTGTGTGACCCAGGGCTGTGTGACCCAGGGCTGTG